AGAGAGGCCTAAAGCACCTCTGTGTTTCCAGGGGTACCAAAATCTCTAGAAGACTACTTCTCAGTTTTGTTCTATTAATTGAAAGTTCTCAGTTATTCACATGGAAGATGCCTCTAAGTGAAATAAGAATAATTAATGTTCACACTTCTGTTCCTCTCAAAGAAGTCACTTAACAAAAAAAGCTGGAAGACAATTTATATTGCATGATAATAATGTAGTTATGTTAAGATATCATGATTAAAATACCTGTTTTGGAGGAAACCTCTTAATTTTTTTTTCTGCTTTTTGGATTATTTTTAGATCATGATGCTGGAAATGGAGTACAGAACCCAGAAGAAGCAGGCATGGTTTCAGAAGAATTAAAATGGGCATCCAGAACTGAAAGTATAAAATTAAGTGGAAGGGAAAGACAATTGGACAGTTCCGCAAGCAGTTCAAGAACACAACCAAATCCTCAGAAGCTCTGGGAAGAAGGCGCAGAATTACCACCAATTTATAGCTCTTTAGCACCCACTAGTGGGCATTTGTTAAGCAATGAGGCCAAAACAGAAAGGGATGGCAATCAGTTTACAAAATCTCACAGTCGACCAACACCCCAAATTCAGCCAGTAGGAAATGTGGCACAGTTGCATAGTGTCACACGTGTAAAGTTGTGTCGCAAAGAGTTACGTCAGATTTCTGCCTTGGAACTGTTGTTACGAAGTTCCAGTCTTGGAGTTGGGGTTGGGTCTATGACTGCTGATTCCATTGAAGTAGCTAGGAAAATGAGTGACTTAAAAACTTAGGCATTTAATAAGAAAAATTTTAATTTAGTAGGTGGGTAAGATTCCTTTTTCTAATCTGTTAAAAATTAAAGCTTAAGCTCACTAGCTGTTCCCTCAGGATAAAAGAAGAAGGGGAGGAAGTAATCCCTAATCCTTTTGTATACCATGGATATGTATATCTTCTATAGTATATTTGAGGAGTTTTAATTTGTATTTCCATAATAACCAAACACATACTTTATCAAGTAATGGAACATTTAAATGTTTCCACTTCTAAATTTGCTTAAAATTTTTTCCAGGCATATTTGAAGAACAAAACTAAGAGTAGAATAATAAACTAAAATATCCATTAAATGTATATTATTATATAATATAAAAGTATATTATTAAGTATATTGTAATATTATAAGAGTATGTTATAATACAATAATTATAATATAAATTTATATTGTTATTCTCAAATACAAGTATATTTTGTTATTTTTTTAAAAAACAGGGGGCTTCCCTGGTGGAGCAGTGGTTGGGAATCTGCCTGCTAATGCAGGGGACACGGGTTTGAGCCCTGGTCTGGGAGGATCCCACATGCCGCGGAGCAACTAGGCCCGTGAGCCACAACTACTGAGCCTGCGCGTCTGGAGCCTGTGCTCCACAACAAGAGAGGCTGCTATAGTGAGAGGCCCGTGCACCACGATGAAGAGTGGCCCCCACTTGCCACAACTAGAGAAAGCCCTCACACAGAAACGAAGACCCAACACAGCAAAAATAAATAAATAAATTACTAAAACTCCTACCCCCAACATCTTATTTAAAAAAAAAAGAAACAATTAAATATTGCTTATATCAGAGAGAGAGTCACCTGCTGCATATGTTTTGGCTGAAACAGCTGAAAATTTGTGCCAGAATGCACTCTATGGGCTAAGGCAACTGGCTAGGTTTAGGGATTAAGGTTAATTTATGCTCCTCAGAGGCTGAGTGATCATTCTTGACTTTTTAAACACGGTCTCTGCTCTTTTTTCTGGAATTGCTTTTAGAGTATTATATTATTGGTTTGCTAATATTTTGGAATATAGGTTTATCATCTCTCTCTTGCCCTATCTATTCAGCATATCTCTCATTATGCTACTAAAATTGGGAGAAATGAATACAGTTCCATGGAATAGGGAAACAAGGACAGAATAACACTGAAGTATTCTAACATATCAAGGAAAAGGTATCTAGTCATATGGAGTACACCTATAAAGCTTGACATCTAGCCAGAGGATCTTTAGCTAATAAGTTGATGGGCTTAATCTGCGATTTTTTTCCTCTACAACCTGGTTAGTCAGGCCTGTACACAGGCCGCCCAGATTGCACGGGGGTTGTAAATATGTAAATGAAATTTTTTCTTCAAGATATTTTTGGTCTAAATCTTATATAATGTAAACCTCAGTTTGGAATTAAGAACTAAACATTGCTTTGCCCAACAAATTTTTCATTGTAGTTTTCAATCACAGAAAACATTTCATTATAATGACCAGAGGTATGATTTTGTTACTTATATTGTTATTTTTGTTACTTTTCCAAACTTTTGCTTGTAAAATAAAAGTTTTTTCTTAAACCAATTAATGTTTGGGGGGCAGTAGCAAAATCACCCTGATTTATGGAAGCTTACTCCATGAGAGTAACCCACTTTATTACTGACTCCAACTTTTCCTACCTGATACTAAGTTTTTTTTGTTCTTTCCTTTGTTGCTATTGACCCTGACCATCTTACCTAAGACCCAGACTGTTGCCCTGTGCTCAAAGACTGTTTTCCTTTTCTAGTTTCTAGCCCCTAGGAAGTAGGGTTCCTTGGTCTTACCGGTAAAAAACAGTTCCTATAGGAGAAGAAAACCAAGCCAAAACAAACTTCTAAATTGGTGAATAGTTTCTAGATCTCTTAAGTATGGTATTAAAACTCATTTGAATTATGGGTTAAATAGACTTCTGTGGACTTAACCTGGAAACGGAACCACAAGTTATAACTTCGGCCCAATGAGAAACTGTTTCAACCAACAAATTTACAAACCAACTTAGAGATTTTATTTTTTTAACAGGGACTATTTGAAGTCAGATTCCTGTTTTCAGCTAGTTTTCTCTTTTTACCTTTGGTTTGTATGATATTTATTTAATATATATATTGTATATAATGTGTGTTTTAGATAGATAGACAATGGCAAAAGGCCAGTGCCTTAGCAAAGCACAGCAATCATATATTAATATGTACATATTAATGAAGCCCCTAATTTTAAGTTCCTTATAAAATTAAGTAATAATTTAGAAATAATTCATATAAGAATGTATTTTGACATTGGAATTCTGCTTGCCCAAGAAATTGACACATATTTGCTTTACCTGTGGAAATATAAACACATTTTCTAAAAGCCAGCTCACTAACAAAGCAAGAAAATTTATATTAAACCAACAATGAGTAGATTTGATAATGCAAATGTGAACTGACATCTAAATAACAAAGGTACAATTTTTTTTCTTCCTTTTGGTTAAACATACATCCTTTATATGCTATGATAGATTTCATATAAATAAACAAACATATAAATCATGTCCTGGATAATATATTCTGGGAGTGAACCTCTTGTCTTTCTTGTTTAGTCAGTGCAGTCACAAAGGAAAGAAAAATTGTCATCTCCCCCAAGGCAAGTACAATTTTTTTTACATTAACTAGTAATAAATTTACCCTCTGTTTCATATGCTCTCCTTAGTCTAAACATTTTGTCTTTGCCTTTTTGCGTGTATATGAAATATGTTTGTGGGGGTTTTTTTGTTCATTATTTTTTTTTCACCTATAACAGAGCATTTGGAAAGAAACATATTTGCCTCCATAAAGTACTAGTTCTTTCCCTAACTCCAGAGTGTTGTAGATAACAGAGTTGGAGAATTCTATGAGTCTGAGAACTATGGGTGGCAAGAACATCAGTGAAGGTGCTTTTGTGCTTTAATGTTTGTTTTCCTTCGCTAATGTTTTCCCCCCCTTAGTTCTTCATATCTTCATGAACTCAGTGTCCAAGGAGTCAGCAAAAATATACATATGATCTTCAGTAATGTGGACTTTATTACCATTGGCTTGTTTGTAATAGTCCAGGTCAATAAAGTGATAAATGCTTATTTAAGAATGGGTGTCTTATATTTTAAAACAAAGTGTCATACGAAGTTTTAGAATGAATTGCTAAGAAGTGAAGTCCTTAGTGGGAGTTTGGTTCTATAGTCAACACAAATTCTCATGCATTAAAAGCAAGTGTGACATGTTCGGCTCTTTCATTTATTTCCTTAGGGACATACTTGTGATTTTATAAAGCACCTGGAGTATGAATAATGAAAGCTCAGTGTCCACTCATGTCTACAATTCCTCTCTCAACTTCACTGGAATTTTTTAAAATATTCATTATGTATATTTTACATTTAAAGATATAACGGGCTGCAGGCTGCCTTGATTAGATTGATAACACATATATCTTCTATGTTTATATTTTCAAAAATAGAAAATAAAGTTGAGAGTGAGATCTTGCCACAATAAATATCTCATGCATTGGGTATGTAGTATTTTGAGCTCATCTGGGCAGTAATACTCAAAGGGTGGATATAGGAGCATCTTTCTTATGGCGAGGAGTATTTTATCACTGTCATTGTTTACCTTGATGCTAATAATAAGAAGCAGACTGACTTTTCATAAGTTTCATTGTTTTAAAATTCTCTACAAACAATGCACCCCTTAATGCCTGCATTAGGGGTGACTGCTTCCATTCCTTGCTTTTGGAATGCAGTGCATACGTGGCAGCGAATACTAGAGTGGTGTTTGATTTTTATGATGGCCTTCATGTTGACACCAAAAATACCTCAATGTGGTGGTAGTTAGAACAAGAGAAATTATAAAAAGAAAGCTCAGAAAAACTTGATGTTATAATGTTGGCTTTTGATATTTTGCATAGTTCTTTTTGTCCATTTTTATATCTTCTTTCCTAGGAATGTCCACAATGAATCAACAGAATTGTCACTATTGTAATTTAACTGAACCCAAATATATTGACTTAGATTTAGGTATTAGGTTCTATTGGTAAATTATTACACAAAACTCCACTGAGTGATCTCTACAGTACTCAAAGAGAAAAATAGAACAATCTCACAGACTTTGTTATAATGAGCAAGATCCTTATATGCCCAGGGAACAGAACCATTCACAACAGAAGAGTAGAAAACTAAACATCTAAAAACTTGTATACTTAGGATTTTTGGAAATTTAAAACTCCATTTATTAGTAAATACTTATGTAATTAAAGTAGAACAAAAGAAATGCATTTTGAAACAATATTTACATACTGTATTATTGTGTTTTCAAGCTTATTACAGTATATACAAAGCAAGGTATGATTTTTCAAGTCCAAAGTGGTAAATATTGTTAGAATTTATTTGATCTGAGGGGTCTCTTAAAAGAACCACTTCTTGAACCCTGCCCCAAGTAACAACAAATTATAGGCAGATTATAGCTCCCCTCACTCCTCACAGTGTTCCAGGATTCAAATAGCTCTGATAAAAAGAGAAGAAAAAGAGGTTTATTTTAAAGCATTCCATAGGCCAGCAAGGAATTTTCAAAAATGTTTTAAGAGAATATATTTTATTTCTCTTGAAGCAACATAAATTTAACTTCACTCTTTGGCTATCTCTATACCCTAAAGAATACTCCTAGTTAGTATTGAATTTGCCATTTGAAAATATACATCCCAGTTTTTAATACTGATCTCTCTTCCTATGATTACTATTAATTCAGGATTGTATGAAAAAAAGCCACCCTAGACAGAATTTGAATGGAAATTGTGGAGCCATTCAGTAGAGAATTACAAGAAACATTAGTTTTAGATAAATTTCATCAGTTGTAACATAAACTGAAGAATTTAAGTGAAGGACTTAAGTGATTTTACCGTTGAAGAACCATCAAGAATATGCAAAAACAAACACTGTAGGCAGAATTGACAGGATTTATCTTTATAAAACAATACTTAACCATTTTGCTTAATTTTTCTCTCTGCTAAAATATCCCTGAATTTTTCTCCTGAAAAATCTTTGGCTAAAAGACTTCCATTCATAATTACAAACCAGCAGCTCTTAGACTGCCTTGAGAGGCTGAACTGATGTTATTCATTTTTGTTTGTGGCCTTCAGTGGTATTTCATTGTCCACCATGAAAAGGAGTAAGGAGTGAATCTGAATTTATAATTTTGATAATTTATAAGTATTATCAAAGTTTTGTTGTCACTTTCTAGCGTGATTATTTTTTTCTAGATCGGGAAAAGGGCAAGGTATTTGTATACTGAGGTGCCAGTCTTCTTTTGAAATTCATACCCATCACCTGGGGGTTGGGCAGCATTTAAATTGTTCCATTCAAAGCCTGGAAGTAAGCCTGTCTGTTTCACTGGACATTTTCCCTAGGTGTCACTGGCTGTAAGACAACCAGAACATGATCAGAATGACCCAGGTTATAATCTTATTAATGGAGTACCTTAAATAATTATATTTTCTAAAACACCAAACAGCCATTTCTTTTAAAAGAAAGCAATGTATGAATCACTCCCTTGTATTTAAAATCAAAACCTTATTTTTCAAATGCAACTCTAATTATTTAATAAATTATTTGGTAGTAAAACTACTGTTTTTACTACATGTAAATAGTTTGTTGCTTTATCAAATAAATATATAAAAGCACTTTGAAAACTAAAGGATCATACATGTTTATGATAGAATTACAAGTAGGTTTTCCATGGAGTTGGTTGTCAAAATGTGATAACTTTTTAGCACAAATGTGGTTGCTTATTTTATATATATCAAAAAACATTTTAAAACAAATTCTCAGAGTTTTAATTATATATGTTAGCAACAGTAGAAATAACTAGTCTCTGGGAAGTTTCATGTGAATTCAATTCTCACAAGAAAATATTTTAAAGACTTGGCTGAGTCTATTTTTATAGGCCTCAGAAGTGCTTCATTACTATTTCTTTGATTTACAAACAAAAAAATATGTTTTTACTGGGTTTTTAACCACCAGTTTTTGGCCATTTATTACTTATTTCTTTAGTAACAATTACATTTTTTTGTTATTGATGAATTCTGGCTAGAAAATAACTTTTCTGGGACTTCCCTGGTGGTGGAGTGGTTAAGAATCTGCCTGCCAATGCAGGGGACACGGGTTCAAGCCCTGGTCCGGAAAAATCCCACATGCCACAGAGAGACTGAGCCCGTGCGCCACAACTACTGATCCCGTGCGGCACAACTGCTGAGCCCACGCACCGCAACTACTGAAGCTGGCACGCCTAGAGCCCGTGCTCCGCAACAAGAGAAGCCACCGCAATGAGAAGCCTGCGCACCGCAATGAAGAGTGGCCCCCGCTCGCCACAACTAGAGAAAGCCTGAGTGCAGCAACAAAAACCCAACACAGCCAAAAATTAAAAAGAAAAAAAAAAGAAAGAAAATAACTTTCCTTAAAACTGAAAAGTCTAGTTTCTATTTGGTAAATATTTTAAGCTCAATTTTTCCCTTAGGGAAACTGTAAAAGTTAATTTTTTGGTACATGTATAGGTATGTGATCAAATTAACAGCAAAGTCAGTCTTTGGCCTTTCATACTCTTAGCTACTATATACAAGAAGTATATTAGAATTAAATCTAACATTACCATGGCAGTCTCCTTTGTAAGTATTCTGAGGGAAGCTCATTTCCCTTAGTTCACAAGTATCTGCCAATGTTAAGGAATACTTTGTCTCTATTTAGATCAAAGCACCCATGACCTGTGCAGCCAAGTAATCAAAGAGAAGGCCAAGACTTTAAGTGTAATGGAACCTATAATCAGAAGTATTCTAGTGGATTGTGAACAAATAGAGAGGAAGAATACTAACATACACTTTTCCTGGGAGAGTTACTTTCATTGGTCCTCTTATAAGGTTTATTACAAAGTTCACTTTCTCACTAATCACTGAGAAGGGAAACTAGATGTAAGGACCTGATTATGTGAGTTTAATTGGCCAGGCTACAGCAAACCAAAACACCCTTCAGAACCAGGCCAGTACCCCGGGGTTTAGTTCTTGTACGGGGAAAAATCTGTACCTCTTTCAAAGGGTGAGCTGATAATTAAAGTTACCTGTATTCTGAAGATATCACAAAAATGGCATCTATAGACAACTGATGGAAATTTTCTTTAGATATTTGTAGGCATTTTTCTGCTGTATGTTTTCTATTAACCTTTTATCATTGAGGCTAGAGCTGAGAACTAAAAGCCCTATCACTCAAGGAACTTACATTGATCGCAGTGATGAGTACTATGGAGAAAATAAAGCAGGGTAAGGGAATAGAGAATCAAGGATGCTTTTTTTTAGTTAGAAATGGTTTCTGAGTTAGGCAAACACACAAAGCTGTAAAAAACAGATGTAAGCTCACCAACTTAAAAATTGCTTTTCAATTGACCCAGTGCATGCATGCTCAAAAGGGGCAATTATCATAAATTGCATCTGAACACAGAAATCCCATCCAGCCAGTTTTTATGGGAGCGGAAGAGCACTGACTAATTTTGCTGAGCCATTGGAAACTGCTCTAGATCTACTGTTTTGATCTATACAGTTGCTTAGAACTTATTTTAAGTTTAGGATCACATTCCACTTAAAAATTTTTTGAAATATAATTCACATAACAAAAAATTTACTATCTTAAAGTGCACAGTTCAGTAGTTTTTAGTATATTCACTGTGTTGTGCAATCTTACTAATTCCAGAACATTTTCATCATGCCAAAAAAACCTCTGTTTTAATTAGTAATCAGTCCCAATTTTCATTTTCTCCCATCCCCTGGCAACCACTAATCTCTCTGTCTCTGTGGAATTGCCTGTTTTTGACATTTCATACATCCTTTAGTGTATGGCTTTTTTCCTTAGGATAATGTTTCCAAGATTCATTCATGTAGCCTGTAAGAGTATTTCATTCCTTTGTATGACTGAATAATAATCCATTATGTGGATATACCACATTTTGTTTATCCTTTCATGAGTTGATGGACATTTGGATTATTTCTATAATTTGGCTCTTATGAATAACCATGCTATAGAATGCTATAAACATCTGTGTACAAGCTTTTGTGTGAATATGTTTTCAGTTCTCTTGGGTATACGCCTAAGAGTGGAATTTCTGATTCATATGGTAAATCTACGTTTAACTTTTGGAGAGATTGCTGAACTGTTTTCCATAGCAGCTGCACCATTTTACATTCCCAACAGCAGTGTATGAGGGTTCCAATTACTTTACATCCTTGCCAACGCTTGTTATTGTCTTTTTTATTATACCCATCCTAGTCGATGTGAAGTGGTATCTCACTGTGTTTTGAGTTACATTTTCCTAATGACCAATGATACTGAATATTTTTTTCATGTGTTTATTGGCCACTTGTTTATCTTCTCTGGAGAAATGTCTGTTCAAATCCTTTGCCCCTTTAAAATTGAGCTATTTGTGTTTTCAATGTTGAATTGTAAGAGTTCTTTATATTTGCTAGATACAAGTCCCTTATCAGATATGATTTGCAAATATTTTCTCCCATTCTGTGTTGTCTTTTTACTTTTTTGATGGTGTCCTTTGCATTGTAGAAGTTTTTGCTTTTGATGAAATCCAGTTTATCTTTTTTTCTTTTGGTTGTTTTTGCTTTAGTTGTCATATCTAAGAAACCATTGCCTACTCCAATATCATACAGATTTACACCTGTCTTTCCTTCTAAGAGTTTTATTGTTGGGACTTCCCTGGTGGCACAGTGGTTAAGAATCCACCTGCCAATGCAGGGAACATGGGTTCGAGCCCTGGTCCGGGAAGATCCTACATGCAGCGGAGCAACTAAGCCCATGCGCCAGAACTACTGAGCCTGCACTCTAGAGCCTGTGAGCCACACTACTGGGCCTGCATGCTGCAACTACTGAAGCCCATGTGCCTAGAGCCCATGCTCCACAACAAGAGAAGCCACCACAATGAGAAGCCCGCGCACCACAACGAAGAGTAGGCCCCACTTGCCGCAACTAGAGAAAGCCTGCGCATAGCAACAAAGACCAAAGCAGCCAAAATTAAATAAATAAATAAAAAGAGTTTTATTATTTTAGTTCTTTCATTTATGTCTAGGGTCCATTTTGAATTAATTTTTGTATGCGGTGTGAGGTAGAGGTTCAACTTCATTCTTTTGCGTGTGTATATCAAGTTGTCTCAGCACCATTTACTGAAAAAAACTATCTTTTCCTTACTGAGGTGTCTTGGCACCCTTGTTGAAAGCTAATTGACCATAGATGTTTGAGTTTGTTTATGGACTCTTGATTCTATTCCATTGGCTTATATCTTATGCTAGTGCCACAGTTGATTACTGTAGCTATGTAGTAAATTTTCAAGTTGGGAAGTGTCAGTTTACCAGCTTTATCTTTTTTCAATATTGTTTTGGCTATTTGGGGTCCCTTGAGTTTGATTATGAATGTTAGGAACAGCTTACCCATTTCTGCAAAAAAGTCTGTTGGAATTTTGATAG